TAATTTTGAATTGAATCAACATGAATAGTTTGAGGTGTTGTTGGTACTTATTTTATTTGTAGAGTGAAAATAGGAGATAGGTATTATTTTCTACATGTTTCGTTCGTGAATATGAAGAAAAATGTAAAATGATATGAATACTTTTTCTTGTTAGTTTTCAACGTTATCAAATAATATGATAACATTGAAGGTATAAAGTAATCTTGTATGTTGCTGTCCACATCACAAAAACGGAGTACTTGAAAACTCTTGAGTGATTTATAAACGAGCCACGGTAATTAATGCATATTTCATCTATTAAGTAGTATTATTCAATGAGAATTTACTAGATATAAAGAAAAGGAGTTCATTCGTTTTAACCTTTTTGTTTTCTTACCCAAAGATATCACAAGTATCTGATAGCATGTATTGACAATCCTTTTAAACGATACACCAAAGAAGAAATGTTAAAAGTTCCTATATAGACTTGATTATAATATTATGGCTCGAAGCAGTTCTTTATTATTTGTATGAGTTAACATGTTGATAAGGCTGGAGGTTCGAAACTGGTTCCATGTATCCGAATTGAATCTTGTTGGCCGATTTTTAACACTGCAGTTTCCTGATGAATTTAGATACATCATAAATAGAGTTTGACAAGCGATTAATGTTTTTCAGGTAGCTAGAATCCACAGATATTAGTCTATGTTGGTTCGTAGTTGTTTGATCTATAATAATCTAAGTTTTTATGTGCTAACAAAATATGATATTATTCTTTTAGAGTTAACTTTTAAAGCAATAATTTAGATTAAATCGAATTTCTGATCACTCGATGGCCATATTATCAAAGTATAAATTAGACAAATATCAATTCGGTACCGATGTTCGAAAAGGACAACAACTCTATGGATTATCGGGCAAAATAATATACGAAGGCAAATGGATATCACGAAGAAATGATTCAATAATTATTGTTGAAATGAACGAAGCAATTGCCGAACGTGAAGCTAGTTTTTATTTAGAAGTCAATGGTCATCATAATATTATTCATACATTTGGTTGTGTTGAAAATAGTTTAAATTTAACAATATTTGTACAAGAATTTGCAGAACTGGCAGATTTAGCTGGTGTGTTAATGGATAATCAATTTAATATTTCTCAAACAATATTAGTCGAAATGTTTTTACAGATTTCTGATGCAATGAGTTTTATTGCACGTAAAAAAATTGTACATTGTGATTTAGGTTGTCGAAATGTACTTGTTTTTAATGTGGATCCAACTGAAGCAAAAAATAATCTAGTTAAAATCACTGATTTTGGTCTTGCACGTTGGATTGATGAACCTCCTTCTAATGAAAATAAATCAGTTATACCAGTTCGATTTTGTGCACCGGAAATTCTTCGAAATAAACGCCATTCCGATTATTCGGAAAAATCTGATGTGTATTCTATGGGTGTTTTAATGTGGGAAGCTTTATCAAATAGTGAAATTCCTTATTCATCAATTGCTGAAGATGATGATGTCATACGAATAAAATTAAACAATGAAAAACTTAAAAAGCCCCGTGATTGTGATCATCAACTTTGGGTACTCATGACTAAATGTTGGCACGAGGATCCAGAACAACGGCTTACTTTTGAGGACATCAACAATAAATTATCAAACATAAAAATTTCTGAAGTAGCACACCATCAAACATCTGGTTCATCCAACAAGTAAGAAATTTCTACTTAACTCAATTTATTTTTCACAGGTGTAGCATTATGTTAAGTGCAAATTTAATTCCAGGTTTTTAACTTCTCTTCTCGCTAATAATGTTTTATGAATGATATAAAAATATTTTGCATTGATTTGAGTGTTGCACAATATTTCAAAGCATTTCATGAACTTTAAATTGGTATAAAAAACAGTTAATGCATTGATAAATTCTTTTTTTTTTAGGACACGAATACACTATGATTATAAACTTGGTGATCACGTGAAGATAAACGGCTCGCTGAATCGTCCATTACCTGCAATTCATCAAGCAGAATGGTTGACAGAAGAAACATCATCGATTGTCTTGATTGAGAGGAAGGAAGAACTATCAGAGAGTGAAAAATTATTATATACAACATACAAAAAACATGATCATCTCGTTTATACATATGGATTTGTGGAAAATAATCGTGGATCCATAATGATATTACAAGAGAAAGCACCTCATGGTAATCTTCGAGCACTACTCGAAAGCGGTCAATTCAACCCATCTGCAAAAGTTCTCATCGAAATTTTCTTTCAAATTCTTGATGCTATGATTCATATTGTTGATCACGGACTTGTACATGGTGATTTACGTTGTGAAAATGTTCTTGTCTTTGAGATGGATCCATCTAATCCAAAAAGAAACCGTGTTAAACTGGGAAATTTTGCTTTAGCACATGAAAACGATCCATCACTAGTTGATGATAGACGACTTGTTATTCCAGTACGATATTGTGCTCCGGAAATTCTTCGAAGTGCAGGTCGATCAAATTATTCTGAATTATCAGATGTTTATTCAATGGGCGTTTTGATGTGGCAAGCTTGGTCGAACGGGAAGCTTCCATATGAATCCTCAACACATAACAGCGAAATTCGACAACGCAAATTGAATGGCGAAATATTATCAAAACCATTCATGTGTGATCCGCAAATTTGGGCAATTATGAGAGATTGTTGGAATAAAGAACTAATTTGCCGATTCGATTTCTCAGGCATAAAAACTCGATTATCTCAAGTTAATATTGCGTAAGTATAGTAAATACTGTTTTGCCGTGATATCCAATATAGAATTAAAAATAAGCTTCAGATTTGCAATAGTGAACAAAACAACAACATAAAACTAGTCAAAATCTGAGTAAGAATGTATACTATGGCTTTTGTTTTATGAAAAACAAACTTTTTTTTGAAATTTGAAATATAATTTGATTCCAGCATTAGTTGATTCACTATCAAACGAAACCTTTTTTTTTTGTACGCTCAACTGTTCTATATTTCTTTGCTTTAAAGAATAAAACTCAATGGTGTATTACTGGACAGAAACATTGTAATAAGCATAAAGATTTACAATATCGCAGCAAAGCTAAAAGTTATTAAACGTTGAGCACGAGAACGTGTATACTTTTTAGATGTTTTTAAGTATAAAAGCACGTATTAAATACAATTTTCCCAAAATTGAAATATTATTTGTATTTTTTAGTTCAATAGAGACTTATAAGCATGAACTAAATGTTGACGTCAAACAGTTACGTCCACTAAATGGAAAATTTTATGAAGCAGAGTGGATTCCAAAGAAAGATCAACAACCAATTGTACTTATGATCATGGACGAAGAAACAGCGGAACAAGAAGCTTTATTTTATACGAAATTCGAACGTGAACCTCATATAGTTGATACTTTTGGATTTGTGAAAAATGATCGTAAATTGATTATGTTACTACTGGAACGAGCATCTCATGGTGATCTGCAAACATTATTGGAAAATGGAGAGTTTCAACCGTCAGAAAAAGTACTTGTGGCAATCTTTTTACAGATTATCGAAGCAATGATTTATATTATCAGTCATAAGATTGTACACGGGGATTTGCGTTGTGCCAATGTGCTTGTCTTTCAAATGGATGCATTCGATTCAAAAAGAAATTCTGTTAAATTAACTAATTTTACTATGGCTTGTCCAATTGATCATCCAGTCTCAAAGAAAAGAGTACGTGAAGATTTAATGAAATACTATGCTCCAGAAATTTGTCAATTCAACGATAGATCGATATATACTGAATTATCTGATGTTTATTCAATGGGTGTGTTGATGTGGCAAGCTCGTTCAAAAGGAGCAATACCCTTTAGTCATCGTACAAGTGATGGTAATATTCAGGAACAAAAATCGAGTTACAAGGCATTACCAAAACCGAAGCACTGCAATAGTGAACTATGGAGCGTCATAGAAACTTGTTGCTGTAATGAACCTAGTATAAGAGACAATTTTGAAAAAGTGAAGACTCAGCTTTTGATAATCAATTTTGAGTAAGTGATTGAATTACCCATTGGCTAATCTAAGAACGCCTGAAATCGCACACCCGATGGGCTCTACTCCCACTCAGTTAATTGAGTAAACTATTATTGCGTAATAGCCTCTTTTAATACGTTAATATATAAGACTATGTACAAAAATAAATAACGGTACCCATCGCCCATCTGAAGAACATTTTTTCGAAATGGAGGAATTTACAAGTTTATTTTAACTATTGTAGTGAATTTCACACTAAAGTAGCTACTAAGAGATATTTTCAGAATATATGACGAAAAGATTTCTTTTGATAAATTGCCAAGAATCCCACATAATCAAATAAGTAACATATTTCGTCTATTTTAAAACTAATTTTGCTTCTTAGATGGTTACTAAAATAATATATATGTGACAGTTGAGTTTGAAATCTAGTTGAGATTGGAATATCATTTTACAATTTTCTAATAGCAAATACCATTAACATTAGACATGCACCGAGCCCAAACTTTCTGGGTTTGGTTACTCCCGGAGTTCGATTATTCCTGGGGTTCGACCGTTATTAGGGATGGGCCCAATCCAAATCTTTGTTTGAGTTTGTCTCAGACTCACTAGTATTTGGATTTGACTAGTGAATTGCTACCAAAGGTAATCGGGGACGGGAAATCTGAACCTGCTATCAGATTTTCGAAATTTTGAGCTAGATTTTTTTGATAATTGTTTCTCAAAAAGTTGGTATTTATGCAAAAAAAATTCCGTAGAAATCCTAGTGACAATCTCTGACGTTTCCGGGCTAGATCCTTAATGTGTCCTATCAGGATTCTTCAAAGATTCGCTGTTTTTTTCTATGAAAACAAGAAAATCCTGAAGTAAGAGTGTAGCCATGGAATTTCAGGTTCTGGCAAGATTTGAAACAGGATTTAATCAGGATTCTGAGTGGATCACGACTATTTTTGAATAAGGAATCGTTCATGAAACTCTTTCATGCTGAAAAAGTTTGTAGTCATGGAATTTCAAGGTCTTGACTAGTTTATCACTTGATTTAAAATCACAAGCCCGTTCAGAAAACCGTAATTGCTGCAAGAAACGTGTAGCAAGCGAATATTCCAGATTTCGACTAGATAGAAACGAATTGCAGATCTTTCGCGTCCGTTTTGGTGTTGATGTGAGTGTTTGTTAATCTTATCCTAACTTGCATCCCGACCTGAGCTTTAGTTTTGTATGTCTGTTAAGATCCTCTCCTAATTTAGCAGCAGTTCTTGACCAGGGTTTCTGATTGTTTTTGGGAGTGAAGGTGGGGGGGGGGGGGGGGAGACTAAAAAAATTTGGTAGAAAGTGTATAATTTTCTCGCAGAAAGTCGACGTTTTTGCAAAAAAGTTTGAGCCTACTAAAAATCGGAAATTCTTCGTTAGTGACAAAGACTAGTAATCATGATTTATTCGATATAAAAGTTTCTCAATATTAAATTATTTCGAAGCGAAAAAGCACAAATGTTTTAATAATTAGTCTTCATCACTGTTTCAGATGCATATATGAATATATGTGTCTTAAGAGAAGATGACGACACATAACAGCAGAAATGAAATCGACTTTTTGCGAGAATTTGGCAGAAACAACATCGACTTTCTGCGAAAAACTTCACAGAATGCATCTTTGATTTTATTTTATTCCAGTAAATGCAGAAGTTTTCTGCTGAACTGAACTTTGAAAATTCCGCAGATATTATTATAAAAGGTTTCGGCAGAAAGTCTGAAATTTCGGGGGAGCCCTGTTCTTGACAGGATTCTCGTGTCAGCGTCCAGAACAGATCCTGACCAGAACTTGATAAAATCTTGGCATAATACTCTCTGCTATTCTTGTCAGTATCCTAGGTAGGATCGAGTCTGAATCCTTGCAGGATTCTATATTCTTACTTTAGAAAAAAACTGAGCAGGATCTTGAGGAAATCCTGAAAAGGATCCTATTTAGCCGTGACAAATCCTGCAAATAGGAATTATCAAGATTTCACATAGGATCCTGAACAAAACTTGACAAGATCCTTCCACGATTGAGACTAGGAATAAGTTTGGTACAAAAAGCGTGAGTTTTTAGAAAAAGACTTCCTTTTGTAAGAAATTGAAGCTAAAGTTTCGAGAATCTTGTTTCAGATTTCGTGTCCCAACCACAATTACCTTTGGTAGAATTTTATACAAAATCGTTGTTTTCGCGAAAAATCCTTTCCTTAGCCGAAAAAATCAAACTCCAAATTTTGAAAATCTGATTGCAGGCTCGGATTTCCCGTCCCCGATTACCTTTGGTAGCGATTCACTAGTCAAACCCCGGAAATAACCGAACTCCGAGAATGACCGAACCCGGAAACGAACGAACCCCGAGAATGACTGAACTCGGGGATTCCGGTCTGTTCCCGGGTTCCGTGCATGACTACAATAAATACTTTTTAATGAATATCACAATAATTCCTTTTTACTTTTTCGAAAAGACGCATTCATTTTACTCGATGTAATTATTGTGGTGAACGATGCCTTGGCAGTCAATTAGCAGAACATCAGGTTTAAACATCATTATTAGCTTATTTAACTGATATTTTGATTTGTAGGAAACATGTCCATCAAGACCTGCGTATGTCAATCATTTTCATTTTATGAACATTTATTTTACAGAAAAATTTGGTACAATATTTTTCATTTTGTTTTCTGCATAGACCCACTTTTGTTGTTTTTTGTAATTATTGCGGCGACGAATATCGAAATGATGAAATAATACGTCATCAGGTAGAGAGACTACTACTTAATACATCAACATATGTTTCTTTTGCAGGAACATTGTCCATCGAAAGCTACTCCTTCTCTCAATTATGAGTAGGTCAACAATTAATCTTCGCGGATTAGCTATGACGAATTTTTTATATAGACCTTTTCGGTTCATTCGATGTAATTATTGTAATGATGAATATTTGGATACTGAAATAAAAGAGCATTCGGTATGAGCAAAACCATAACTCTTATAATCTAATGTGTTTTTTCAAGAAAACCTGTCTATCAAAACCTCAACCTTCTGTCCATCAGCCTTCAAAGTACGCAGAGTTATCTTTAAAAGAACTTAATGATATTGAAAGTTATTTTACGATATAGACCCTCTGCATTCTCAAAAGTTCACACCAATGATCCTCGTCGAAATTCACGAGATAAAGACATAACTCATGAAGTATGAAAACAATTATATTGATTTTATTGATTTTTATTTTATTTCGAAGAAATCACGTTCATCGAACCCGAAACCGGATAGTCCGAACCGCTCGCGGTATACACACAGTTATTTTTTTAATGTTTATTATGATATTTTATGTGTTACTTAATACAGACCTGTCCGTCTTACTGAATGCAGATATTGTCATCATGAATATCCTTCAGTTGGTATTAGAAATCATGGGGTATAATAGAGAAAAGCATTTCTTGTATCGATTAAGTTTTCTTTTTTCTTCTTCAGCAATCCTGCTCAATGAGACCTCCACCTCCAACACAAAATACACAGTATGCAAAGAATAATTTTTTAAAAATTATTATAATAATTATATGATTTATGTTTTGTTAGACCCGTATATATTGCCTGCAGACATTGCAATACAAAGATTTTACAGAATAGAATACAAGCACATGAGGTACGATCGACACGAGTCATTTTATTAATATTTATAATCTTTTGTAGAATACATGTCGACCGAAACCACAGTATGCACGCAATCAGCTTCATTCACGAAGACTCATATGTTTACTCTTTTTCTTCGTAGAACTTTCATGGATCGACTATGTTCATGGATCAGTGGTTGCTGTGAAAACGACTAGTTCTGTGAAGATAATTATTGTTATATCTGTAACAAAAAAAAACACATTTGTGCATAGTTGAATGCACACTTTTAAACTTGAACTTGTGAGAGCATTCAATCGAAATGAGACAAGTGAATATTTATTTGATTGTATACATACTAAGTCTTTGTCGTAAATCAATTTTTCTTTAGATTGTTCATATGTCTTAATTTATATAAAGAAATCGATTGATCATTCCTTTTTTCAGAACAATTATTGACAAAATTAAATTTGAACAATTCAAAATCATAGTGTTTGATTTCCAAATCATATTATGGAATATAGTATTCAACATACGTCTAGAGTGAGATAGGTTTTAAAACATCCCAAAAAGGCACAATTCTACGCTCTATAGAATATATTCATATAAAATATGTCCTCATGATTTAGACTTCTTTACAATATGAAAAGGAAGACAAAATCATTTCGAAATTCTCTTCGTTGTTCGTGTTGCGACGTTGGAAAGAAAGTATCGTGGTGTATGTTAAAGTTATAACTTTCAGGTGATTTTCAGAGATCGTTTTCTGTCTATTATTGTTTTTCCAAATGTGTTATGTGATCGATTTAGAATTTAAATGCATTCAATAATAGGTTGATTGATTCAAAGCATAGAGAATAATCTGCAATTACGAATGCGTGTTGGCGGTCTTGGTTGCATAAACATTTTAGAAAATACAAATATTCCTACATTTCATTTCATTGCATAATCCATACTTAATATCTATGAAAAACATTTTGAGTGCAGAATTTTAAGACACGAGTTCAGATTATTCATGGTCAAAAAATGAGTAGAATATTGAGTTTGATTTTTTTTCGTATAATTTTTAACAACCTATGTCAAACAAAATAATCCGGTGTGTTTAAGATACTTATTGACACCGTTTACGACCGTAAACTAGCCATTTTTTCATCGTTTATTGCCCGAAAACGGCCTGTAAACGATATCTATTTTGATCGACTTGAGTCGAGTTAGTTCTAGAATGCTACACTAAAAGCGGATATCATCATTACAAAAAACTAAATAATTGAGCAGAAAGCAGAGATATAGACGATAGTTTTAATAAAGATATATTTCGAGTTTGTCAGTCATATATAATTTTACAAATACAATGATTTTTATTTGAAATTTTAACAATTTTCGCCACTAAATTAGATACATT